GGTGCTGGGAATTGAACCTGGGTCCTCTGGAGGAGCAGTCAGTGCTCTTAACCACTGAGCCATCTCACCAGCCCCCCTACAAATATACTTTTATCTATAAATTTTGTAGCGTCACTAACTCCCAAGCCTATACAAAGTACTCCAAGACTGAGTGGGTGACACATGCCAGTAATGCCCACACTAGGGAAGCTGGAATAGCAGAACTCAAGTCAGGGTGTGGCAGATTGTCAGATCCTGTCTAGGAAAGCTGGGGAAATGTGTTCATTTCTCCATTGGAGGCCCTCATGCTCTTGGTTTCTTCTTTAATAAATCTTTGTTTGTTCTGCCAAAAAACAAACAAAAAAGCCCTTTAAAGGTTAAAAAAGCTACAACGGGGCTTTGGAGAGAGACCCTGTCTTACAAAACAAAAACAAACAAAAAACCAAAAAAAAAAAAAAAGGAAAAAAGAAAAAGAAAAAAAATTGGAGACTATAAAAAAGGGGTAAGATTTGAGGATAAACTTACAAAAAAATCTCGTTAGCATGTAGGATATTATGTTGTTCAGTCCCTGAGATGTCTTGTGTCTCCTATTTTATTGAGACATTAAAATGGAATTTGTGAAAAAGCTAAGGTTCTTAGGGACTCTATGCTGATTACTAACCTTTTCAATTTAGTTTTCTCTGAAGTACTAGCTAAAGAATAGATGAACTCCTTTGTCAACCCCTAAGTTTAGGTTTCAGTTTTTTTTTTCCCCCAAATGTCTTCAAGCACAGTGTGATGCCAGCCCCCAATCCTGATTGAGCCCAGCACACTCTCCACTGCTGAGCTGGACCCCTGCTCAGTTCTCTTTCCTCCTTGTTTGCATCTTCTTGTTTGGCTTTTCAAATGGTGCCATAGCTCCTGTTGCCCTGGAAGTAGAGACTCTTGCCTCTGCCTCCAGAACTGGGGTTATTTGGAAAGTGGGAATGTCATATTCTGGTTTCTCTTCAGATTCTGCAAATTGGTGCTTCCATCAGTAAAAGGACTGACTGTTTTCGGTTAAATTACTACTTTTAAGGGTTTGCTTGTAACTAGGATTTCAGTTTGAGAAATGTCAAGAGTTTTGAGGATCACAGACTTTTCTTTTTTTTTTCCTTTTGATAAAGTCTTGCCCTATAGCCTGGTCTCAGAATTGAGGCAATTCTCCTGCTTCAGCCTCCTGAGTGCTACAAATGTGCCCTACCATACACAGCTGAATTTACTTGTCAGGTTATTTTTTTTTTTCATTTTTTTAAAAAAAAAATTTATACTTTTTTAATTGATATTTATTGAGCTCTACATTTTTCTCTGCTTCCCTCCCTGCATCTCCCCTCCCCCCTTCAATCCTCTCCCAAGGTCCCCATGCTCCCAGTTTACTCAGGAGATCTTGTCTTTTTCTACTTTCTACTTCCCATGTAGATTAGATCTGTGTAAGTCTCTCTTAGTGTCCGCATTGTTGTCTAAATTCTCTGGGATTGTGGTTTGTAGGCTGGTTTTCTTTGCTTTATGTTTAAAAACCACCTATGAGTGAGTACACGTGGTAACTGTCTTTCTGTGTCTGGGTTACCTCACTCAAAATAATGTTTTCTAGCTCCATCCATTTTCCATTGCTCCATCCAGCAAAATTCAAGCTGTCGTTAATTTTTTCTGCTGTGTTGTACTCCATGGTGTAAATGTACCACATTTTCCTTATCCATTCTTCAGTCGAGGGGCATTTAGGTTTTTTCCAGGTTCTGGCTATGACAAACAAAGCTGCTATGAACATAGTTGAGCACATGTCCTTGTGGCACGACTGAGCATCCTTTGTATATATACCCAAAAGTGGTATTACTGGGTCTTGAGGAAGGTTGTTTCCTAATTTTCTGAGAAATCGTCACACTGACATCCAAAGGGGCTGTACCAGCTTATATTCCCACCAGCAATGCAGAAATGTTCCCTTTTCCCCACAATATCTCCAACATAAGTTGTCATCAGTGTTTTTGATCTTGGCCATTCTTACAGGTGTAAGATGGAATCTCAGAGTTGTTTTGCTTTGCATTTCTCTGATGACTAAGGATGTTGAACATTTCCTTAAGTGTCTTTCAGCCATTTTAGATTCCTCTGTTGAGAGTTCTCTGTTTAGGTCTGTACTCCATTTTTTTTATTAGATTATTTGATCTTTTAGTGTCCAATTTCTTGAGTTCTTTGTATATTTTGGAGATCAGACCTCTGTCTGATGTGGGGTTAGTGAAGATCTTTTCCCATTCTGTAGGCTGTCATTTTGTCTTGTTGACCGTGTCCTTTGCTTTACAGAAGCTTCTCAGTTTCAGGAGGTCCCATTTATTGTTTCTCTCATTGTCTGTGCTGCTGGGGTTCTATTTAGGAAGTGGTTCCCTGTGCCAATGCGTTCAAGTGTACTTCCCACTTTCTCTTCTGTAAGGTTCAGTGTGGCTGGCTTTATGTTGAGGTCTTTGATCCATTTGGACTTGAGTTTTGTGCATGGTGATAGATATGGGTCTATTTTCATTCTTCTACATGTTGATATCCAGTTATGCCAGCACCATTTGTTAAATATGCTTTCTTTTTTCCATTTGATATTTTTTTATTTTTTAAAAAATATTTATTTATTATGTATACAATATTCTGTCTGTGTGTATGCCTGCAGGCCAGACCTCATTACAGATGGTTGTGAACCACCATGTGGTTCCTGTGAATTGAACTCCCATTGTTTGGAAGAGCAAACAATGCTCTTAACCACTTAGCCCCCTCTCCAGCCCTCCATTTGATATTTTTTGCTTCTTTATCAAAGATGAGGTGTTCGAAGATGTGTGGATTGATATCCGGGTCTTCTATTTGGTTCCATTGGTCCTCCTGTCTGTTCTTATGCCAATACCAGGCTGTTTTCAGTACTGTAGCTCTGTAGTAGAGTTTGAAGTCAGGATTGTGATGCCTCCAGAAGTTTTTACTGTTTTGGCTATCCTGCGTTTTTTGCTTTTCCATATCAAGTTAAGTACCGTTCTTTCGAGTTCTTTGAAGAATTTTGATGGTCATTGTGTTGAACTTGCTAGATTGTTAAACTGAAAATAAGGGAGGAAGCTAGCTGAGGCCTCTCCTGTCTGCTGTTTATACACATGGATGTTTTAGATACCAGACTCCGACAGAGGTGAAGCCGTGACTGGGAACTGTGGAAGGCTTGTTACTAAACTTAGCATTCTTCCTTTTCAGGAAGGGAAAACCCTAAAGGTTTGGAACAGAACTGAGAAAAATAACCTAACTCTAAAGGGCAGATAAGCTTTAAATATGAAAGTAATAGAGGCCAGGTGTATTTTTCTGTCTCTTGTGAGAGCCATGGTAGGGCCCTCCAGGCCAGCTGCCCAGTGGTTTTTGCTGAGGTGGCTCATTAGGTCAGCATGCTGGGAAGGTTGTTCAGTTTTTGAGTGCTGTGAGACTCAGCATCTTTCTTGACAAAATTATTGTTCTTTCAATCTTACACTTTTTCTTATTTCAGTCTTGTGTACAAGTGAACAGGCAGGAAAATGAGTAGGTTGATTTACTGTATAACTGTAGGTGTGTGTTTCTTGGTTTGGGCAGATCATACAGAGTTTTAAGGGAAATGTATGGAGCAGAAAATGTGTAGATTGAATCCTGAGAGATTATCCAGACCAAAAAAAAAAAAAAAAAGAGGAAAAAAAAGAGATTGTCCAAACTGACTGGAAGAACAAAAGAAGTTGGGTTATAGAGAAGTATTGCTCCTTTAAAAACCAAGAGATCAGTCGATATGCAGATTAATACTTTTTAAATAGCATGATAATAACTTGCTATAAAGAAAGATTAATTTAGCCAGGCTGTTGTGGTGCATGCCTTTAATCCTAGCACTCGGGAGGCAGAGGCAGAGAAGGATCTCTGTGAGTTCGAGGCCAGCCTGGTCTACAAGAGCTAGTTCTAGGACAGCCTCATAAGCTACAGAAACCCTGTCTCAAAAATCCAAAAGAAAAAAAAAAGAAAAATATTAATTTGAAGATATGTAGAAAATGAAAATATAATGTAAAAGAACTGTCTTGGGGATGGACACATGCGTACATGCGCACATACGTGCGCGCACACACACTTTAGTCTCTATATAGAGAAGGTTTTGGTTTTGGTTTTTCAGCTCCTGAGTGCTAGGGCTAAAGGCATAAACCACCACCCGACTAAGGGAAGTTTTTTAAAGAAAAATCCTGGGGCTGGAGAGATGGCTCACAGGTTAAGAGCATTGCCTGCTCTTCCAAAGGTCCTGAGTTCAATTCCCAGCAACCACATGGTGGCTCACATCCATCTGTAATGGGGTCTGGTGCCCTCTTCTGGCCTGCAGGCATACACACAGACAGAATATTATATACATAATAAATAAATAAATATTAAAAAAAAAGTCCTGGGATTGGAGATAAGACTTAGTGGTAGAGAGTGCATACTGCTCTTGTAGAGGACCCAAGTTTGGTTCCCAGTACCCATACTGGATGATTCATAACTGCCTGTAACTTTAGCTCCTGGAGTCTGGCTCTGCAGGTACCTGCACTTCCATGCACACACCCACACATACACATAATTAAAAATACTAAAAATAGATCTTAGAAATTTCCACCAGGTGTAGGTGAACAGTAAAAACGGGAGACTTGCCCACAGTGGTTGGTTGTGTTGTCCACGACTGGGTCAGATGAGGAAAGTAGACTGCTGAGCTGAAAGAGCTTCGCGGCCTCCCAGCAGCTTCGTCTTTGCTCTGTGCTCTCCTGACTCAAGCAATGTGTTGGATCTAGACTAGAGGAAGGCTAGGTCTCTGGCTGCTTGCATTTCCTCTCCCTGTTGTAAGTTCACCAACAGCTTTGCACTTCAGAGTCTGGAAAGACATTAACGACTTTCTGGAACCAGACGATTCTTTTGATTTTTGTGGTTCATACTGTGACGCTGGAGTGGGGACAGGAGGGTGGAGTTACAAAGTGTTTGGACCCTTCTGGTTTATGGGATTGTTTTTTTCCTTTTCCCCTTAGGAACGGCGTGAATGTTGAGGGGGCGACACACAAGCAGGTGGTGGACCTGATCCGAGCAGGAGAGAAGGAATTGATCTTGACAGTGTTGTCTGTACCTCCTCATGAGGCTGATAACCTAGATCCCAGTGACGACTCCTTGGGACAATCATTTTATGATTACACAGAAAAGCAAGCAGTGCCCATATCGGTCCCCACATACAAACATGTGGAGCAGAATGGTGAGAAGTTTGTGGTGAGTGTCAGCCCAGCTTGATCCTCAAAATTAGCTTTTATTTCCTTTACTCTCATGAATGTACTTCAAGCAGCAAAATAAAAGACTGCAACCTAGGTTAGTTTGTCTGTCAGGAAGTGAATTCACTTAGAGACGGTCTTGGCACTGATTGATTTATACAGGGATAACCTTCAGTAATGAAGAGTCCTATTTCTGCTTACATATGATTTCATCTATTTCCTAACAGTTTCAAGTTTGTATTCTGGTCTTTTATAAAAACACGTGAGTTTCTTTTGCCATATGTCTTTGCTAATTGTAGTCTGTTTTACTGTTGACTCTAGAGTTATAGACCGAGATTAATTTTGAAAGGTATCTTTGAAAATATTTGGATAAACAGAGGTTTGCCATTTTGAAACCTATGTATCTCTATACTCGTTCCTTTCCACATCTTGTTTCTTTCATTTCTTGGTGATGTCTATGTGCATGAATAACTCTTTAGTTTTTCCCCCATGGTCCTAACATACTCTTGACTGCAATTTCCGTGAGCTGTTCTACACATTTCTATTTTGTAGCTTTTATAGAGAAGTAGAACTCATCTTGAATTTTAGATGATATGTAACAGCCTGTTGCTGTTTGGTCTTCAAAACATAGTTGCTATTGATACTTCAGACTGTTTATTTTTCTCTTGGTTGTATTATGTTTTATTTGCCTTTGATTGTTTCAGAAATGTTGACATAGAAAGCATTAATTCTTTTATCCTTTGTGGAAATGCAGTGGGTTCTATTAGATATTGGCAAACAGACCACAGTGTTTAGAGATGTAGGGCTGGGAGTAGAGTTCAGGGGGTAGAGTGCTTAATATGTCAAAGTTCTGGGTTCAATACTCTATAAAATAAAATGCTGGTCTGCTGATTAAAGTTATCATCTCTGAAACTAGGATTTATGAACCACTAAATGCTGTGGAGTTCTTCCCAGTGGGCAGGTGAACCAAACATGGATGTTAACTGGGGATAATTGCACATGAGTTTTGTATCAGCATGATTTCTGTATTCTTAGAGCTATACACAAAGTTTAGAAATGAGACCTGGTTGGTTGTGGAACCTTTTGAGAATTACCTAGGGTTTTAGCAACTTCTGTAGCCTTGGGACAAGGAATGAAACTACTAATTGTTCTTCTGTAAAAGGTCGGTTTTATTAGGCAAATTTCTGTATGTTTAACCATTTATCTAGCTAGATGTCCAGTTTTATGATGTCAGTCTTTTATCTACTACCACAGTAAGGAGAGAATATTTTCATCACTCCCCAAATTTCTCTACTCTGTTTTGCAGTTATTTTTCCTTGTTAACCACTGATCGATTTTCTGTCTCTATATTTTGTTCTTTGTATTGACTGTCAGACACATGGAAACATATAATATGTGCTTGTATTAGCTGCTGTCAGACACATGGAAACATATAATATGTGCTTGTATTAGCTGCTGTTTTTGTTACTGCTACAAAATAACTGACAGAAATAAGCTGAGGAATTGAAGCTTTAGTTTGAGAGTGCTGTCGTGTTAGGGAAGGCATGGTGGCTGGAATTGTTCTAGTTGCGGTGATTGGGAGCGTTAACCAGTTAGTTACATTGCACCCATTCTCAGGAAGCCAGAAGAGATGAATGCTGGTCCTTAACTTGCTTTCTTCTTTTTACTTTTTTATTTAGCCTAGGAATGGTGCCCACATTCAGGGTAGTCCTTTCCTCCAGTTAAACTTCATTGAAAATGGAAGGTTATCTTTAAGGTAATTTTGTATCCAATCAGGTTAACAATAAAGATTAATTACTAGAGGCGCGCGCGCGCGCGTGTGTGTGTGTGTGTGTGTGTGTGTGTGTGTGTGTGTGTGCAAGCATGTGAGCATGTACATGTAGAGGTTTGAGGTCATCATCCTTTTCTCAGTTACTTTCCAGCTCTGTTATTATTAATTTTTAGATTATTTGTGTGTTGGGATGAAGTATGGATGAAGGTATGCATGGGTGTGTGGAGGTCAGAACAATTAGTGGGAATTGGGTCTCTCCTTCTACCATGTGAGTTTCAGGGATTGAACTCAGGTCATCAGGCTTTGTGGCAAGCAACCCTATCAGCTGAGTCATCTCACTGACCCTCTACCTTATAAGAAACTGGCAGAGCTGACAAGATAGCCCAGTGGTCAAGAGTGCTTGCTGCACAGCCATGAAGCCCTGAGTTTAGAGTCCAGCACCTATCGAACAAACCATATACGGTTTCTTGTTCACCTGTAACTCTAGCACATTAGAAGGCAGACAGGTCTATTACTAGAACTTACTGGCTTTGCCTCTGACTAACAAGGCAGAAAGTGATGGAGGATGACATTCAGCGCCCTCTGTTGTCTGTACACCCACATTACACAGGTCCACACGCAGGGACACACACTCTGACATCCACTGCACACACACAAATTCTTGTCAGACTTGGATTGGAGGTGTAGCTCAGTGAGGGGGAACTATGCCGAGCTTAAATGAAGCTCTGAGTTCAGTCCCTAGTACCACAGAAACCTGGTGGAATAGAATATGCCTGTGATCTCAGCACACAGGAGCCAGGAACAGGAGGATCAGTAGTTCAAGGTCATTCTCGGCACACAGTAAGTTTGAGGCCATTCTTTAGGAGACCTTTTTTCAAAAACTCAAGACAAACTGACAAACTGCTTTTCAAAATACCTTTGTCATATTTCCATTCTCATTTGCAGTAAAGAATTGTAGTTTTTCTGTAACCTCAATATGTGGTATTTTAATACTTTTTTCCCCAGGTTGGGACTGGCCATGTGTCCTTGGGTGACATTTAATTCGTGGTGGTTTTGCCTTAGTCTCCCAAGTGCTACCTGACCCCCCCCCTTTTGTCCTTTGTTTTTTTTTTTTTGCTCATGCTGGGGTCTGAACCCAGGGTGTTGTATATGCTAAGCATAGTTTTTCCCCCTGAGTTACATCCTTGAATTTAATCTTTTTTACACTTACTCAGCTTTTTGAAAGATTTACTTTTGTTATTTTTGAGATGGTGGCCAGAAGGAAGAGAGAGAGAGTGTGTGTGTATATGTTGTGTCTGTGTGCCACTGTTGAGGCCAGAGGTGTCAGATCCCCCTAGAGTTGGTTGTGAGCTTCTAGATGGAAACAAACATGGGTCCTCTTTAAGAGCAGTACATTCTTTCAGCCATGGAGCAGTCTTAGCAGTTCCTATTACCTGTGTGTGTGTGTGTGTGTGTGTGTGTGTGTGTGTGTCTGTGTGAGTGTATGCCATCTGTTTGTAGGTGCCTGCAGAGGTGAGAGGAGGGTGTTAGATCCCTGGAGCTGGAATGATAAGTGGTTGTGAGCTGCCTGGTATGGTCCTTTGCAAGAGCAGCACGTGGACTTAACTACTGAGCTACTTCCCAGCCCCCACTATGGGCATTCTTGTAGGTACAGTGGTATCTCAAATTGATTTATCTGTGACTAACTGACATTCATCTGTTTCATTGGTGTGAAGATTCTGTTAATTTTTTGTCCACTTAAAATTTTGAGTTGTTTTATTATTTTGTTAATAAGAATTTATTATCTGTAATGGATGTAAATTCTCTAGATGTTTTGTATTTCTCCCATCTGTGGCTTGCCCTTTTATTTTTTTTTAGAGTATTTTAAAGAACAAAAGTTAGAAGTTTTAATGAAGCCCACTCTGCCACATTTTAATTATTGGTAATGCAATTCATGCCTTAATAAAGCGTCTTAACTCCAGAATGCCAGCCCTCCGCCCTGCGGCTCTCTTCAGCAGGGTCTTACCACAGAGCTAGTTTGGCCTTGAACTCATGATCAGGCTCCTGCCTTAGTCTTCTGAGAGCTGAGGCTACAGCTATATACTACCACACTTGGCTGTATTACCCTGCTATCTTATAAAAGCTTTAGGCCGGGTGGTGGTGACGCATGCCTTTAATCCCAGCACGTAGGAGGCAGAGGCAGGAGGATCTTTGTGAGTTTGGGGCCATCCTGGTCTACAAGAGCTAGTTCCAGGACAGGCTCCAAAGTTACAGAGAAACCCTGTCTCCAAAAAAAAAAAAAATTTAGAGTTATTTTAACTATTTTTAATAATGTATATATAACATAAACTATAATTGTTTATGTAAATTTTATTTAGTTTGGTGGTATTTAGAGTGTTTATAGATTGTGCTGCTGTGATCAATTTTACATTTTTACTACTTTGATACATTACACCCTATAGCTGTCATCCCTTTAAGCCTTCATCTTCCTCCAGCTCCAGGTCATGCTAGTCTACTTCCTGTCCTATAAATTGACATATACTGAACATTTCATATACATGGAATCATATGGGATTTTTGTGTGTGACTTGCTTCTTTCATTTAGCTGTTTTCAAGGCTTACCTGTATTGTATTATTAACCTATATTTTATTTTAATTTTCATTAGCATTCCATGACTTGGTATACTTATTAGTCAGGGTTTTCTGAATGAACAGAACTATAATATTTTATATAGTATGTATCCTATTATAATATATATTTATACGTGTGTATGTATAGCTATATAGCCCCTTTTAACGTATGTATGTGTGTTTTATGTGTGTGTGTGTGTGTGTGTGTGGTGCGCGCGCGCGTGTGTGTGATTTATTAGACTGGCTTACAGGATGTAGTCTGGGTTGTCAACAGTGGCTGTCTCACAATGGAAAGGCTGAAAATCCAGTAGCTATTTTGTTCATAAGGCTGATGTCTCTGCAGTCCCAGTTTGGTGCAGGAGCCCTACAGGATTCCTGGAGAGCTGCTAGTCTTCAGTCTACATTTACAAAAGACAACACTCTCTTCTTCTATGTCTGTTTTTGGTGGTGGTGTGTAGTACGGATAATAAAAACCCAGAGACAGACATTGGGGTTCAACCTGAAGATCAGAAAAGCAAAGTAGCCAGCACTGGCTCTTAACTTTACCTTGAACCATAAATGGGTAATCATCTCTCCTCGAATCAATCCTCAGATTGAAACTGAGTTGAGAGCTGTCTTCA